CTTCAGCCGAGCACGTACGAACTGCGCATGCGTGAGTGGCAATAACTCTCCGTACCAGCAGGCGGCGGTAGTGTGTATTCGTCATTCAAAAGAGGCAACCGGAAGACAGACTGCGTGATAACCGAGAGAAGAAGAACAGACTGCGTGATTTAAACTAACAACAAATAGCGTGCTTCCATTTTCACTCTACAGCAGAAGCTCATGGGGCTTTCCCGAACCTGTGTCGAGAGCTGGAGTTAAATGAAATCTCAGATTTGCCTTCTTAATCGTTTGTTTGGGTCCCTCACTTCCATTTTGCTTCTCATGCACTGATTCGCTAAGCTGAACAGCCAATCAGAGTGATTTCTTTAGCCGACGGCCTTTTACCGACAGCCTACCGATTCAACATGTTGAATCACGGCGGAAAATGTCGGCACGGCCGAAAAGACATGACGGGGCGGGACACACCAATCTGAGTAGGGCGACAGGACGCTCATCGACGGCCAGACATCTATTGACATCTATTGACATCTATCGACATCTATCGACGGCCAAAATCGGATGGTGTGTAAGGACCTTTATACCGGGCAGTGATATCATAAACCTGTTAATGTACGAATTCAAACACTCTGTAGTTTTTTTTTTTTTACCAGCTGTTCTGTATTCGCCTTGCAGGTGCAACTACTGTATGTGGCTTTTATCCGTGTTTTATCTGTTTAAGTCATGGATGTTTAAAATTTAACTTCTTCATATGTCTAATATTATAGATTACTTTTCATTCAGGAAGTATGACGCTGCGCTGTCAGTAAGCTTGTCCATGTTTGTGATTGGTCAAATGTTGCTAACCCCGCCCCTTTCACGTGAACGCGCACTCAGCCGGACAGAGAAACCCTGGGTTGAATTACCGAGTTCATAACCAGCGTCGTAGGACCGCCAGATAACACAAACATATCCAGGATCTGTTGAACTGGCTTCGTAGTACAGGGCACAGGTCTTGTCTGTCTTAGCCTCTTGTGTCACAATTTGTAACAATTGTAACCAGAATAAATATATGTATACACTAAAGTCATTTTTCAGCACACCTTGCATTTTTAGCTGGCAAAGATCTTTAGTACACATACTGTAGATCATTTGCAGACATCCTTTTTAATTTTTTACCCATTAAGATGCAATATTAAATATTATTGAACAATTATATCAACAGAAAAAAGTGAAAATCAAACTAGTCAGTACATGTTAGACGCTTTTATCCAAAGGGACTTACAGTTCAGTACTGTGGGCAATCCCCACAGGAGCAGTTCGGGGAGAAGTGTCTCGCCCAGGGACACAACGACATGCAGTGGGACTTGAACTTCCTCAACATTCTCTCCCGTGATCCGAAGATCAGCCCACTATTCCACTGAGCCACAGCCTCCCCAAATTCAAGTTATAGAAGATTTATTTCCCCCACGCCAGATTATAATTACCTTTTTTTATTGAAATGCCTGTTAAAACAATGGAGAAATAAAGTAATGAAAATGAGCTCACCTGCTCAGAGTCCATTGCACTGATGACCCACACACAGTGTGCGTTGTTCTCATATTGAACAGGGTAGTTTGGCGAAGTTATGACCCCTTTGGGCCCCCTTAGATTGCTGCCACAGGTACGAGCTACAAAGGAAGAAAGCAAAAGAAAGACAGAGTTTTAAAAGAGATTAATGGGGTAATCAAAAATTACACTCAGATTGGAAATGGCCTTGTTCCTGTTAAGAGAAGGGACAGAGGGAGAGTGTGCCAGCGACGGAAGAAAAAGGTTCAATGTGACCAAAACTGACAGTGTGGCATTTGGACACTGAATTTGGACATTTAGTTGGACCTACATACAAGTACAAACAGTATACAGTCCTCAGTTATAAATATATGGGGAACACTTCTAAAATAATCAATACTTTCAGTGAACCAAATATTTAAAATGTCCTGAAATCAAATCAATCACGATGTCTTTCCGCATCTTCCTTACGTAGGTTTTTGGACAAACACCAGCAGCTAGTGAGATTGAACTGATTACATTTTTACATGTAGTCCTACAACAGAAATCAGAAAATGGTTAAACATGTTACTTGGAAAAATCTATTTACTTAACAAACAGTTGAAAATCCAATATTATATGTCTATAATAACATTGAATAAAAGTTCATGCTGCCGAGAACAGGAGAAACAAGGGATTATTCTAGGAACTGAATCAAATTGCACTAACAATGAAAATATCATGAGATCCAGAAGTGCACAGAGTGATTTCTTTAAGACATATTTTGTATTGATACAAAGATAAAAAGCCATAACAAAACCCCTGGTGCAGTTGAAGAAAACACTTTGGGCTGTGGTCTGATGACAAACATATCAGCAAGTATCAGGGGTTTGATTAGAACAACATATTGCATGGTCATATTTTGTCTATCAGGCCGTGTCTGGTCAAGCAAACAAGGTCTTTTAAATAATTGAAGGTCACAATGATCCCAAAAGAAAACAACAGCAAATTAGAAAACTACAAACCAGGATGAGGTCCGACATTGTCTGCTCTTAAAATGTGAGGCTTCTCTCTGAATAATGTTGCAATAATTAACAACACATAACTGAATATCTGCTAAAGGACAATCCAAGGGAGCTGGGGTGGGATCGACAGGTCAACTGGATTATTATATGTTGGTCCATTTAAAGTATATCTGTAATAGAATTGTATAACAATTCATTCAATAACTTTTGTTTAGCAATAGCACAACATACTAACAATATAATTTAACTATTTTTGATAATAGTTATGTTCACTCTGCTTTTGATACCTTTGGTCCTGCAGCGTCTCCAGGTCGTCTTTTTCAACAGCATTTTTATATAATATCTTTCCTAGAGCTTTATTTATCCATATCGATCTTGTCCTATTTGATAATTAGGGTAATATGTCTTGCGTTCAGTTCCTCATAAAGTCACCCATGTGTTAAAGTCTTAAAGAGACATTTTGGCCAGAAAGTACGCATAAAAAACACTTTTTCAAGATTCACAGTTAAATTTAAATGCTTTCTTGACATTTCCACTCAGCTTTAGACAACCAGCACGGTCATCATTGGGAGGACGTTTATCTGGTCATATATCTGCCCTTTATCTATATAATGAGTTAGCTGGAGGCGATCACTGCCATTATATTGAGGCGAAGGGCCGTGACATCGGAGACTAAAAAGGAAATAATACAGAATAATAGTCGGGGTGAGGAGTAAGACAGAGATGAGATGAAATAATAGAGCAAGGAAGGAAGGAGAGGTTGGAAAGAGAGAGTAGAGAGGGTGAAAGATTATAATGTGAGGAAAGGGAGAGAAGAGAAATGAAAGGAGGGAGGGCACGAGGCAGGACAGAGACAGAGGCATAGAAAATACCACGGGAGAGAGGGGGGAGAAGAGGACCTCCGATGACTGATCTGCCTGTTAATTAGAAAAGAGAGCTGAAACACACTGATACACACACAGGTACACACACACACACAGGAACACATTCATGGCGATTCATCCCAAAGACCAGCTTCTAATTAACATTAAAGTCTCAGCAGAGAATGAGAGAGGCTCATGGGTTTGAATCCCAGGAGAGAGATCACACCAGAGAACACAATGCATGCTCTCTCTCTCTCTCTCTCTCTCTCTCTCTCTCTCTCTCTCTCTCTCTCTCCCTCTCCATAATTACTGTACCAATGTTTTATGTGGAAAATGTCAAGGCATAAATCAATGCCAAACATATTACTTTATTTGTACAGTTCTGTTGTGTCATCCTGAAAAATCACTTTTTACATCTTGGATTTTTCTCTAATATGTACCCTTCTGTAGTTTCTGAAGTAACAACATAAGTTGTTCCACAGTTAGAAAAACATACATACTTTCTGAATCTGCTTTAACACTTTATGAAGGAGTACGAAATGTAATGCATACTGAGTGAAATCCACGCAGTCAGCTACGGTTGCTGCACTAGTTTATGTTAGGGAAGTGTATTTTACTCAATACTTAAATCTAATTAATCACCAGACTACTTTTCTTCAGTTTTAATGCTGGACAGAGAGTGCAGTTTTTGCTGAAAACAGATGCGTAAGGAAGCCGATGGCAATCATTAGACTCAATACGAATTAATTGAATAAAAAAAATACACTAGAAAGCTACATGCAGTCATCATACAAAAATTCTATGATAGTATTCTGTGATCCATAGACAAACAGAAATCATTTCAAATTAGATACTGTAGTCATTTGATTCAATGGCACAAGAACCCACTCTTCCATTAGGGAATAGCCTTGATCAATTGTCATATTGTTTTTCTTAAATGTAGTGAAATGTATTTTTATCCTTGAGGATTCATATCAGTAGTAGAAGTAATCGTTTTTACTTACACTGACAAACCCTAACATTAGGTCAAGGTCATATCATCGCAATTTCATCATGTCCTTCCATCTCTCTGACTGTCTCACTCTGCCGTCATTGACTGTCTCTTTCTGACAAGAGTAGCCAGTATCATGGAGGCAGGCAGATTCCTGCAGTCACAGACATACAGACACAAACACCCACCACACACTCTTACTATAATACAATCTGACAGGGACCCTATAGTGTGTGTCTGAGCACAGGGACTTCCTGTCCGTCAAACACACCCACAGCTCAAGGCGAATACTGTTGCAACTATGAAGTGTGTGTGACATTGTCCTTCGGACACTTGCTGTCAATATAAGTGTGTGTTGTGTGCACACACACACTTGGGTTTGAATGCTCTCTGTCTGCCTTTTTATTGTGAAGTATTAAACCCAACAGGGTATTGTCAGTAAACATGCGGGTATTGAGAGCCCCTGCATCATTGCTCTGACACTCACACTGTTATTTATTTAGTGACTCAGCCATTCAGTCAGAAAGTGAATCATGATTTCAAAACAACAAACAACACCATGTAAATTACTTTGATACCATACACTGTGAGAAAGATAGTAAACTTTTATAAAATGCCAGCAAAGTAAAATACCCAGACCCATCTTCCATAATGTCAGTACTGTAGATGTAGTTATTCAATCTTTATTTCAGACTCAAGGTCCGTATCACATACAAAATCACAAAATACACAACAATAAATAAGATTAAAAAGCTTCACAAAAAAACAGATGAAAAACATAAAATCAGTCCAATTACAGCTAGCCAGTAGCCACACATACATGCTCACTGTCTGTAGAGGCTGTTGCGCCAATGTCTCCAAATCATAGAAGAGAACCGAGCAGAACTCTTCACAGGGTTGATTAAAATCGAGATAACATGACTGTCTGACTCTTCTAGGCGACACATGAATTTGTACATTACATTTCTTAAAAGGGCTTGACAGGTAGGTACCCCCAAGTTAACAAACAGCTGGCTGGCACTGTGCCATCTTTGTACCCTCACCAGCAACCGTAAAGCATCATTGTATGCAACTTTTAGTTTTTGCATGCTGCTAGCCTTGTAGTCACTCCACAGGTGAGCCGTGTACAGAAAGCTTTAAAAAGTGATACCTTGACATCTACAGGGCACTTGTGAAATGTCCGCATTAATATGTTTGCCTGTGCATTAGGGATGTCCCGATCACCTTTTTTTGCTCCCGATCCAATCATTTGATTTTGACAATTTGCCGATACCGATTTTTCCCGATCCGATCTTTATGCAATGCATTAAGAGAAAAAAAAGCATTCAAGTTGTCCCTTAAGGTTATTTTTTTATTTAAATTGGATATTCTATCCAACATGGATATAGCTTCTTTCTTTCACAGCAGCATTGGATCAGTTCAGTTGTGCAGCATTGGATCAAAACAAAATAAAGCTTATCAGTACTCGTTAGCTTACTGCTACAATTAGACAATGCGCCCTGCCCACTCTTTTGCCAGATTTGAGAGAAATAAGCAACCAGGTCTATGAAAACAAGCCCCAAAGAAGCAACACATACATGATGTTCTGTAATTTGAAACCAAAACTAAGGCCTCAGGATGACTTTAAGACTTGAACATGGTCATTTTTGTTTTGTAACATTGAATACAAAATTTAAAAAAAAGTATTTCTAAAAAAAATCCCAATCCCCGATTGTTTTTTCTCCCGATTCCGATCTTTTGAAAATCACGTGATCGGCTCCGATCCCCGATCACGTGATCGGATCGGGACATCTCTACTGGGCATACAGTTTGCAGCGTTGTCTATGGATGTCTTTCTCATCTGTGAGATCATCAGAGATATACAGTAATGATCAAGGTACTTCATCTCACTGCACACAAGAAGAATGTTGCTACTGAGAATAAAGTTAGGAAATACAGCCTTTTTATCCTCTTTACTTCGCACAATCATGATGCTACTCTTCTTGGCGTTATACTTCATATTAAAAATCAATGCCATACTGGGAACAAATCCTCAGAAGCTTTTGTAAGCCAGCACTGTACAGGGAAAAGATGATTATATCATCTGCGTACATAAGGTGGTTGACAACAGTAGCACCGATGAAACAGCCAGTTTTACACACGTTCAGTTTCCTAGACAGATCATCCATGTACTGATTAAATTAAGGTCTATTGTGTTTAATATTGTTTGTTTAAAACCAACTGGTTTATTTGTATTTCTAAGTTTTTTTAATGACTTTTCATGGAGAGCTCTCAGCTATTGTAGGCTCTGAACCTTTCAACCCTCCTGAGCAGAGGAGCTCAGACAGGGACCGTGTGACTGTGTCAGTGTCCAGGCTGATAATTGAAGGTGAACAGGGGTTAGACATCAGGGATTTGTGGCTTTGGAACAACAGCACAGGAATCTCAGGCAGCAGTAAACACCATAGCATAGGCGGACTTTGTTTATCCTTTTATTATGATCAACAAATCCCCTGAAGAAAGGAAAACCAACAATGAATCTATCCGACTAACACCCTTTGTGTGGGCAAACTTTAATACAGCTTACACATTCCTGCCATGAGAGTCCACTGATAACCGAAAACTATTAGAAGCACATTTCATGTCATGACGTTGTATTTACGTGACATGCTCCTGCCTTATGGTGAACATGTATAGTATCAGTTACCCTCATTTTGACCCCCTGTACCTCTTGGGGGATAATAGCTTGACATCAGGGTTGATGGTTTAACTCCTGGCTTATTCTAACTGTATGCTGAGTGTCCTTAAGCAAAGCATCACTGTATGAATATGTATATGTAAATATACATCTGTTATTTGTCCTATTTTATTGATGTGGGGCAAAGTTGTTATCAATGATGCTATGTACAAGTATACATAGTTGCTTCATGCACACAGTATACAATCCAAACAAAGATAGACTCAATGGAAATCGATACGGAGCAGCTGGCGTGCTTTGAAAGACACGTCCTTAAGCTGTGGGTGGACATGAACCTATTGTATGAACAAGCTCAAACTCTAATGCATTGACACCTAGTCATAAGAGTTTCAGAGGGAATGACAGGTGAAACTTACTTCTGCAGATTGGTCTGTGGTCACTCCAGGCAGCCAGTGTGTCAGTGACTCGCTGACAGGTGATACTTTTAGATCCTTGTAGTACATAGCTGTCATCACAGCTGAACTGGACGCTGGATCCAATTCTATATAAAGGAGACACAACAAGAACAACACTCGTCAAAAAAACAGTAGAAACTCTAAATCAAATCTAGCACCCACTGCCTCATAAGGGTGATATTGTCACACTTGTAGAGACCTCTTACACTCCATCTAGGGTTATGTCTTAAGAGAACTGAGAAGGAAGATAATTGTAAAAGTAATGTATGAATGATGGCCGTGATATTAATGATGCAGTGGCTTTTAGATCCCTGTGGAACAAATCTGTCTCCACAGATGACCCAATTAGGATCTATAATTCCTCTCTTAATGTAAGACGCTTTATCTTTTATCACTTATGCCTTTTTCTCAATGACTGATTTTCTTTCCTTTTATTAGTTCATTCTTTCCCTTTTTCACTTATCTGGCCTCACCTCTCATCATTTGCTCTTATCATTCCTGTTTTCTCATTTTCTCCCAACACCCCGCTGTCTACCTCGTGAGAGGGACATTCAACGATCTGAGTGGAAGACTGCATGGTGTCTTATCTGCAAAGCTTAATGCCTCCACCCCGCTGATGCACACCACAGTCTACCACCTGGCCAAACATTTCCTACGTAGGGTTCTGGGTGCTCAGAGGCTCCACCCTGTTGTTAAACACTGTAGAGTTTCACTGCCTGGCCAAATCTCTATGTTAGTGCCTTTGTCACGGAGAGTCGGGTCATTCACTTTACAGCTTCTGCTACTTCGGCGACGCTGATGACACTGAAAATAACTCCCACCCAGACGCATACTGTGAAATTTACAATTACAGGAAAGAAAACTTTGTTGTTATCTCTATTTCCGAGAAACGAACTACAAACCTTTCTGCTAGAGTTGTGTATGTGGAAGTCAGTGAATCAAAACTGCCGTGACACACTAAGTGACAGCCACACGCGGTTCTGCACTGCCCAACAGTGAAAACTCTTTTGTTATCTCTGCAGCAATGTTCTCTCTCTCTATTTCTCCTGTTTTACTTCATCACACCCCAACTCTGTTCCAGTTCCTGCTCCTCAAAGCTTAATGATGATTACATACAAACCTGTTACACACACCAACCACATCCATGCCAACATGCAGACAAACTGGCACACGCTCAGAGACAAACACACAAACATGCACACACACTGAGGTAATGACCTTTCACTAACTCAGACTCCACTAAACTCCACTAATAGTCCCGCAGAGTTTGTGCAGTCAAAGTTGCTAATGGTAAAGAACACACCAGGAGCTGGACATTAAAAGATGATTATCCTTTAAAGGTTTTTTTGGCCAGAAAAATGTATCATAAAAAGGTAAAATAGTATACCCGTTTTGATGCTCTGACAATAACGAGAAAAACATATACGCAATTTAGCCGCCACTGACGCCAAGTGGTTGAGTCATAGGGAGAGGTGATCATTTTATAATTGCTCACTCCTGACTAAATGAAATAAATGTCTTTCTTTGTACTGATAAGATGGCAGACATCATGGAGTGAATCATTTAAAATCCCCATGACCACCAAGTCCTTGTTTATTGGCAAAGATTCTACTTTTTAAAAATGACTTCCCATTCTCCGTATAACCCTTTTATAGGTAACGACCCTCTAAACCTCCTGGAGGGTCATAGTCATACTGTAAGTAATGAACATTGTTAAATGCTGATGGTTAACAGTGGGTCTCTGGACAGGCTGCCCAGATCATTTGCTCTATGCAATTTTAGTTGTTTGTCAAAAAAATCACAAATGTGCAAAATTACATACTGTATGCTTATGAATTGATGCATTCACACAAACTTGACCTCCATGCCAAATGTCAGCCCTCCCCGGGCGAAATAATCAAGCAGTTACACTCTCAGATGAATTCCCTTTTTGTTGATTGAGAGTGTGTGTGTGTGTGTGTGTGTGTGTGTGTGTGTGTGTGTGTGTGTGTGTGTGTGTGTGTGTGTGTGTGTGTGTGTGTGTGTGTGGGTTATAAACTATAGTAGCTCTTAATGTCCTTTCCTATAAGGTTGAGGGTTGTGTATTTCTGCTGAAGAGCACTAAACAGCCTTCCCCTTTATGAGGATTTAAAACACTGCCAATAGGAATATATGAGATTTTAGTCATATAAGGTTATTCACATCTAAAAAGCCGGATCTATAACAAAAGGTCCCCAACAGACATACATTAGTTATGATGAGGTATAAACCAGAAAACACTTCAGTCTCATGGAAAACGGCGGAGGAATTGGACCAATTCTGCAGAACTGGGACAGAGTTGTACTCACACTCAAATACAGAAACAAACTGTGGTTTATGAAAAATACTTTTGGGTGACAACATTTCTGCAGTCTGGAATCTATATGCATATATTATTGATCCACAGGCTGGTCACAGGATCAAAAATATCTAAGGCACTTGTTGTTGTTTAATACATTTGATTTGACAAGGATTGACTGACAGCAGTTAAGTCTGGAATAGAGGGAACTTACTGGAAGGTTGATCCCATCCTCTTGCCATGTTCTGGAACTCCAGGATCTGGACAAACATCCCCAGCAAGGCCGCTTTGACTTGCTGAAAGAAAAAGGCAAATATATGGTTAGCAGGGTGCATGTGCAATGTGCATTTGAAGAGGATATTTTCACACACTTTAGGGACTTCTTATACAGTTTGAAACATGTACGGCATAAATTAATGGTGACAGATAAAACATTAAACCAGTTCTCATATCACTTTCTACAGTAAGCTGAAAGTGAGATGGGATTAAAGTCATCTTTGTTATTGTGACCACAAGCATCCAAGTCTTTTTTTAATTTTTCAACATGACTGTCAAGGATTTAAGCAGCTCCAACAGTGAGAAATATCCCCATCTGTTTTTGAAAATTCACAAAATTAGGCAGGCAGCCTTTGAATTTTAAAATAGATCATCGCTCAGTTGACTCAGGATCATGTTTGAAAAATACACAGGCCTCAATATAAAAACAATGCCTTCACCTTTGTTTTTCCACCTGACAAGATATAATCAGAAAAAACGATTTAAGGATTTAAAAAGTGTTTCATCAAAGAGCATCAATGAAAACCCCCATTATGAAAATTCTGTTGTAATACATCTCTCAAGGGAACGCTCCAAAACTAAATAAACAAATCTCAACCACCTTGCTGGTCAAAAGGAAGAACAAGAGAAGAAAAATGCCACCAGGGATTTTTTTGGTATATATTTTAGCTCTTACAAAGTATGTATTGTTGCATTTATTATGCATACTATTTGGGTATAGCATTTCCTCAACTAATGCAGAAAGGATTGTCGGTTAAAACAGCTAGATAAGTGTGCTGTCTTGCATACTGCAAAATGCGTCCAGATGCAGTGGGACGTTGTGATGTTTTTGAAATCTGTATTTGAGATATTTATTGGAATGTATTTAAAAGGTATCGTAGTAAAGGTATTGATATGACAACATATATGTTTTAATTTGACACCAGGCATGTTAGGCCTACTTGCAGTGCTTTCCCTGCAATGACAAGTCAAACTTTGTCTAAGAGGGGGGATTCTGGGTTTTTCTTGTTGGCCAATTATAAATTGGCTAATATTCATAAAAAAAAGGGTCAACAACCATAGAATATTTCAGACAAACAGTGAATGAAGTCTTCCATTATAACTACAAGGCTAAATTAAGATACACTATAGCTAAAATATACATTTTATGAGTTTTTACATTTACGAAATGAATACAAATATCAATTAACCTAATATTCTATTGACCAAACCCATAAAGACATATTTGCATGTACTATGCCAACCCAGTCTCATGGCATTTCGTGTTCACCAACACGATTTTTAATCTATTGATTCGTGTTCACCAACACGATTTTCCCCTTTTTTTCGTATTGCACAGCACGATTTTAAAAGCAATGTATTTCTACTGGTAATGTGTTTCGTGCCTGCAGCACGTCTTTTTCTCCGGTCGGGTCGTGGAAGATCGGAAGCTGTGTGGTTCATAAAAACATGTTCTTACCCAATATCAAGCCACAATTATTGCTTTTATTTTAAATCGTATAATTTCGGACTTTTGTTTCCGTCTGTGAGGAAAATAAATGGGGCTCAGAGCCTTAGAATACTGAAATCTGTATTTTTTAAATCTTTTTTTCCTTCTAATTTGTTATTCTTCTCAAAATAACACACTGTTATTTACTCACCAATAACACACAATTATCGTTGCTTTTATTTATTGGTTTAATTCCATAATCTCGGGCTTTGTTGGCGTCCTTCAGGAACTGAATTTCAAAATAAAAATAACCGGAAACAGACGTAGGCATTTCGAGCGATTACCCAAGATCCTCAGCAATGGTTTAAGCTCGCTGATTGGATGTTTTAGCCGCAATGCATGCTGGGATTTGGTGTTTATATGATATGAAATCCGGAAAACATTTTAAAAGAATAAAATAATACTTAATTCCGAGTGTTCTTGCTTTTCTCTTTGAAAGTCATCACATAACGGCATTGTAATACACGGTTCGGCTGCATTACATATTACAGATCTGCCGTAGTTCTTTATTTATAGAGCCCTGATGAGAAAACTTCTAGACAAACTGGAAGAAATGCCGCCGAAACTGAATACTTAACGTGGATCATAAATATATCAATTAAACAACATCTTCAATTTCTCTTCACACAATACGTCTCCTTGCAGTATCAACCTTAATTCGGCTGACTTTTATATTTGATCCAATTCATAGATAGGTTATATTTACACCATAACGGTGCACAGCTGATAGAAAAGGACTTGTAGTTTTTAAAGACATTACTGATTTTCTTTAAATACAAGAATGTGAATACTGAGTTGGAAGAATAGTCAGTTGTTTTGGGTGATGGGAGACACATCTATGGATTCAGAATTTCAATAGCTTA